CTGAGGTCCTGAGCGCTCTGGAGCAGGTTTTAAATCAAGGATCTCTCTGTACTTTGCTCCGTTCACCTTTCCCTCGATCCTGACTAGTCTCCCAGTCCCTGCTGCTAAAAATAAATCCCCACAGCATGATGCTGCCACCACCATGCTTCACCGTAGGGATAGTGCCAGGGTTCCTCCAAGAGTTCAATCTTGGTATCATCAGACAAGAGAATCTTGTTTCTCATGGTCTGAGAGTCTTTAGGTGCCTTTTGGAAAACTTTAAGCGGGCTGTCATGTGCCTTTTACTGAGGAATGGCTTCCGTCTGGCCACTCTACCATAAAGGCCTGATTGATGGATTGCTGCAGAGATGGTTGTCCTTCTGGAAGGATCTCCCATCTCCACAGAGGAACTCTGGAGCTCTGTCAGAGTGACCATCAGGTTCTTGGTCACCTCCCTGACCAAGGCCCTTCTCCCCAGATTGCTCAGTTTGGCCGGGCGGCCAGCTCAAGGAAGAGTCTTGGTGGTTCCAAACTTCTTCCATTTAAGAATGATAGAGGCCACTGTGTTCTTGGGGACCTTCAATGCTGCAGACATTTTTTGGGACCCTTCCCCAGATCTGTGCCGACACAATACTGTCTCGGAGCTCTACGGACAATTCCTACGACCTCATGGCTTGGTTTTTGCTCTGACATGCACGGTCAACTGTGGGACCTTATACAGTGAGGGAAAAAAGTATTTGATCCCCTGCTGATTTTGTACGTTTGCCCACTGACAAAGACAAGATCAGTCTATAATTTTAATGGTAGGTTTATTTGAACAGTGAGACAGAATAACAACAACAAAATCCAGAAAAAGGCATGTCAAAAATGTTATAAATTGATTTGCATTTTAATGAGGGAAATAAGTATTTGATCCCTCTGCAAAACCTTAAGTCATTAAGGTTTCGAGGCTGACGTTTGGCAACTCAAACCTTCAGCTCCCTCCACAGATTTTCCATGGGATTAAGGTCTGGAGACTGGCTAACCCACTCCAGGACCATAATGTCCTTCTTCTTGAGCCACTCCTTTGTTGCCTTGGCCGTGTGTTTTGGGTCATTATCATGCTGGAATACCCATCCACGACCAATTTTCAATGCCCTGGCTGAGGGAAGGAGGTTCTCACCCAAGATTTCACGGTACATGGCCCCGTCCATCATCCCTTTGATGCGGTGAAGTTGTCCTGTCCCCTTAGCAGAAAAACACCCCCAAAGCATAATGTTTCCACCTCCATGTTTGACGGTGGGGATGGTGTTCTTGGGGTCATAGGCAGCATTCCTCCTCCTCCAAACACGGCGAGTTGGGTTGATGCCAAAGAGCTCCATTTTGGTCTCATCTGACCACAACACTTTCACCCAGTTCTCCTCTGAATCGTTCAGATGTTCATTGGCAAACTTCAGACGGCCCTGTATATGTGCTTTCTTGAGCAGGGGGACCTTGCGGGCGCTGCAGGATTTCAGTCCTTCATGGCGTAGTGTGTTACCAATTGTTTCTTGGTGACTATGGTACCAGCTGCCTTGAAATCATTGACAAGATCCTCCCGTGTAGTTCTGGGCTGATTCCTCACCGTTCTCATGATCATTGCAACTCCACGAGGTGAGATCTTGCATGGAGCCCCAGGCCGAGGGAGATTGACAGTTATTTTGTGTTTCTTCCATTTGCGAATAATCGCACCAACTGTTGTCACCTTCTCACCAAGCTGCTTGGCGATGGTCTTGTAGCCCATTCCAGCCTTGTGTAGGTCTACAATCTTGTCCCTGACATCCTTGGAAAACTCTTTGGTCTTGGCCATGGTGGAGAGTTTGGAATCTGATTGATTGATTGCTTCTGTGGACAGGTGTCTTTTTTACAGGTAACAAACTGAGATTAGGAGCGCTCCCTTTAAGAGTGTGCTCCTAATCTCAGCTCGTTACCTGTATAAAAGACACCTGGGAGCCAGAAACCTTTCTGATTGAGAGGGGGTCAAATACTTATTTCCCTCATTAAAATGCAAATCAATTTATAACATTTTTGACATGAGTTTTTCTGGATGTTGTTGTTGTTATGTCTCTCACTGTTCAAATAAACCTAGCATTAAAATTATAGACTTATCATTTCTTTGTCAGTGGGCAAACGTACAAAATCAGCAGGGGATCAAATACTTTTTCCCCCTCACTGTATAGACAGTTGTGTGCCTTTTCAGATCATGTCCAATCAATTGAATTTACCACAGGTGGATTCCAATCAAGTTGTAGAAACATCTCAAGGATGATCAATGGAAACAGGATGCACCTGAGCTCAATTTCAAGTCTCATAGCAAAGGGTCTGAATACTTATGTAAATAAGGTAATGTTTTTTATTTTTAATAAATTTGCAAACATTTCTAAAAACCTGTTTTCGCTGTCATTATGGGGTATTGTGTGTAGATTGATGAGGGAAAAAAATAATTTAACCAATTTTAGAATAAGGCAGTAATATAAACAAATGTGGAAAAAGTGAAGGGGTCTGAATACTTTCTGAATGCACTGTAGATCTCCCATACCACATGGATAACTCTTCACCACCAGAATCATGTCCTCCATCAATGTGAGAGAGATTAGGAGAACATACTGATGTTGTGGGAGCATTACCCATCATGCAGTAAGTTGAAAGCGGCCATGGTCTTATTGTACAGTTTGTCCCGTCCCTCCTCTGTCGCCAGAGCCAGCACGGTCCCAGGGAACAGGAGGTCCGGCTTAGAGCTCATGAAGAGCAGTGTGTCACAGCGAGGCCCCCAGGTGTTCACTATGTGTTTAGCTTTGGTCCACAGAGTCTTGGGTGAGGTCAACACCCAGCAGAGCAGCCGACCCGAAGAGGAGGGGGTGGGGGAGGGGGGCAATGGCGATAGGACTGAGGCATTAGTGGCAACAGCAGAGTGGTGTACTGAGAGAGAGAGAGAGAGAGAGAGAGAGAGAGAGAGAGAGAGAGAGAGAGAGAGAGAGAGAGAGATTATCATGTGGCTGAGTGTATTAGAGATATTCAGAGGTGTAAAAAATACTGTAGCTCCAATTTACCTGAAGGGAGCTCACCCAAGAGGCTGCTGGTCCGTGAGGGCAAGGGCACTGTCCCCTGAGAGATCTGATATGCTCTGTAGTAAGCAATGGCCATGAAACAGAGACAGAACCCCAACACAAAGCCAGCACAGAACATAAAATCCGAGAGCCTGGAAGGCTTTGAAGTGGGCTTAGACATAATCATCTGCACAAGACAAAAATCAGATTGTACAAGTAATGTACAGGTGAACAAAAGAGAAGAGCATTCGCAGATAAAGTAAATCAAAAATCTATCCGGTTTATAAGAAGTTGCAACAGGGAGACACGTCCAGCACAGAAAATGTCTTACTGACATCTTGGACAGGCCCTTCATATACTAATCAGACAGCGCCAAATGTTCTAGTCACGAAAGTGGGCCTTCAATTATGTAGGCAATGCCACACACATTTACGTAGAAAAAAAACTAAACGTCCCTAGTCTGTCACAAATGTTGAATACAATTATTTTAACGTACTCTGATGATTGTCCTGGGTGTTGGTTGTTCAGCTGGTCGAAATATGACCAAATATCCACAGAAAATTATTATTAAACAGACTTCAAAACATGGGTCTGTGTGTGGCAATCAATGTGTGTTTGCTCATGACCGAAGGCACATGCACAAGATGGAAGTACATGCACACATACTACCAGGTGTTTACATGGTTTTGCTAGAAATTTCTACTTCAGTACCAGTGCTCTAAAAAGTTGGGTAAACAATACTTTCCTATGGATTTTGTCTCAAATTTCAAGCAGCTGAAGGTCCAACTGCACAGACAACCGATAGAGTAAGTTAAAATGTAATTTTATTAAACATTCTGGCTTCTAAGGAACATTTCCACGATTCTGCAGTGCTTTGCTTCAGACTGTATATCAAGAATTAGTATCAAAGTGTGATTGATTAGGCTATCAAAACACCAGCCCAAGAACCTTGTAGGAAGTCAAAACAAAAGGCAGTGACTTTGTCAGCTACTACAGAATCACACAGTGTCATCAATACAATACTACAGTGAATAAAGTCGCTCTGGATAAGAGCGTCTGCTAAATGACTAAAATGTAAATGTAATAATCAGTGTGTCCTCGGTCCTTGTACATCCAGTCTGGCGTCACCCACTATCAACAGATATGAGAATAATTCATAACATTAAAGTCTATTGACCATCAACCCGCACCTTGAGTGTCACAAACACTGGAAATCATGTGTATTACAGAAAGGGAAAATATATGAATATGCTAAACATTGTGTTAATCACTCTAAACTAAATATGAACTTTAGTGATCTAAATGTCCCCATTACCAACATGCATTGGCCTACAAATCAATCCTAAATCTTACATTTGGTTTTACAAAGTTCTATCAAACTTACCAACTCTCTGCCTTCCAGAAACCGAAAAATGAGCTGATGTGATGGTTAATTGGACACCACCCCTGCTGGTGCACTGCCCACCAATTGATTGATTAGGGACACATTAGTAAATGGACCACTAGATGGTGCCATAGCGCACATTGGACACATTCCATCCTGGCCCCAATTTTTCAAAAGTTATCCATCTGGATTTCACCTTTCATATAGTATTAAATGCATAGAAATATCATTAATAGAACGGTATCCCCCATTCAAGACAATGAGTCGTCCATTCTATTCATTCTATGGATTTAATCCTATAGGCTAAATCTGGGCACTGGTCCTGCAGGTTTGCAGCACAGTGTACTGAAATCAATTACTTTTGTCTTGGCCCAGTAGCTTACTAAAACACCTGACTCAACTAATCAAGGGCTGCTTAAAGTTGATCCTTTTGTTAGTAGAAAATCAACATGAGCATTACAGATTTATACTGTTGAAACCAGTGGAGTAGTTGAGGGTACACGTACTTTAACAACGTTTACGCACCTTGCAGAGAAAAAATACTCACTCAAAAGGGATTGACATAACCAAAAGGCAGTTTATTGCAACTAATAGCATAGGTCATTGAACAAAAATAACCAAATATGCACGTGTAAAAATAACATAACACTTGATTTATAAAATCTGATTCATCAACAAAATATCAAAAGCAAAGTGACAAAACTGTTGATAGACAGACTTAACCAATTGCTGCACACATTGACACATACTGAAACAGTTATGTCTGATTACCCAAGCAGGTCAATGATTTGGAGATTCAGGCCTGGACAATCATCCAAAACCCAGTATAATGGAGGAACAATGCCAATATCATTCAGCCACATGCATCAAACACACGTCTAGCCGCTATGTCAGAAACACTCAATCTGCATCCACTCACAAACACCTAAGAATAGCTAATGTTTTTGTTAGAATAGAGTTCAGCCTTCTCCTCCAAGTGTTCTGACTTAATCACAAGTGCGTCTTTCCAATTTGCCTGTCATTTTGCCAGGCAGGCAGGAGGGTAGTATAGGCCGAGGCAGGGCTGGGACAGACTGACGGACAGACAGTACAATGAGCAGATGTATCAGGTGCAGAGAAAGAGTTGGATAAGGAGATCTAGAGGAGAGGAGAATTTAAATAGATAAATAAATATATGCTTTTGGATAGTTGTGTAGCTTTGAATTGGGATGGTTAGATGTGTCCAAAAAGGCATTGAATATACAGGCCAACATTTTGACCTAGGAATTCACACATACAGCTGTGAAAGAGCAGGATGGACAGTGTGAGGATGTGAGAGAGGGTGTGGGTGAGGAGGGGCACAGAACAACTAGGATCCTTTTAGTTTCATTATAACTTTCATTTAATCCACACAAAGATCCAGAAATATTGAAGAGCTTTTCCCCCTCTAATCTTTGCAGACATGAAGCAGTGGGATGAGTGGAGTTGGTTGGAGAACGGTTTGGTTGGAAAAGGGTTTGGTTGGTAACTGTGTGTTAATAGTGTTGACAGTAGGTAGGTAGATGTTCATGGTCAATGCAGTGTCTCCCAAGTTGAGGCAGGCGGGTGGGGTTGGTTTGTTGCTGGCTTTGCGCTGCGCAGACAGAGCGCCGTCGGCATGGCGTCCCCTAGCTGGGGGAGAATGCAGGGCTGGGTTCCGTGCTGATGTTGACCAGACACTCACTGGACTTGAGGCTGGACATGGACTTGCAGCTGGGGAGAGAGGCCAGAGAGCCACAGAGACCCAGCATAGAAGGGGTGTAGTCTTTTCCTACAGAGGAGCGAATAGACAAAACACAATAAAACTCTGTCCCTAAAGCACACTTTGGCTATCAGCATAACTTAAACACCCACGCAAAATACACCATAGACAAGGTTCAAACATGCCTTTGTATGTTTGTGTTTGTGAGGACATGTGGATGCATTCTTCTAAGTGGGTTTCTGTTTCTGTGTGGTTTTGTGTTGGTGCATGTATGACAGTGGGTGCCTCGGTGCACATATTTCTGCAGCATCAGTATGCATTGCTGTGCTTCTGCAAATGTATTTGGATAATGTACATTTATTTTTTGAGCACCAACCTGTATCTCCGTTCTGTTGCCCGTCTGTCTTCTGGGAATCAGAGTTCAGACTGACGTCAGCTGAGAGCTGCTCCAAACTGTGGAAGCTTCTCCTGAAGGAATGAGTGACATCATGAAATACTGTTACATTAACACCTATGTAGAAATCGCACAGACATTTCCTGGTTGCAAACATTTTAATAGTTCGCCTAATTTCAGTTTATGTGACAAAACAAGCAAGTACAGTGTAGAGAATCATTGTACCATCTACAGTGAGGGAAAAAAAGTATTTGATCCCCTGCTGATTTTGTACGTTTGCCCACTGACAAAGAAATGATCAGTCTATAATTTTAATGGTAGGTTTATTTGAACAGTGAGAGACAGATTAACAACAACAAAATCCAGAAAACCGCATGTCAAAAATGTTATAAATTGATTTGCATTTTAATGAGAGAAATAAGTATTTTACCCCCTCTCAATCAGAAAGATTTCTGGCTCCCAGGTGTCTTTTATACAGGTAACGAGCTGAGATTAGGAGCACACTCTTAAAGGGAGCGCTCCTAATCTCAGTTTGTTAACTGTATAAAAGACACCTGTCCACAGAAGCAATCAATCAATCAGATTCCAAACTCTCCACCATGGCCAAGACCAACGCGCTCTCCAAGGATGTCAGGGACAAGATTGTAGACCTACACAAGGCTGGAATGGGCTACAAGACCATCGCCAAGCAGCTTGGTGAGAAGGTGACAACCGTTGGTGCGATTATTCGCAAATGGAAGAAACACAAAATAACTGTCAATCTCCCTCGGCCTAAGGCTCCATGCAAGATCTCACCTCGTGGAGTTGCAATGATCATGAGAACGGTGAGGAATCAGCCCAGAACTACACGGGAGGATCTTGTCAATGATCTCAAGGCAGCTGGGACCATAGTCACCAAGAAAACAATTGGTAAGGACTGAAATCCTGCAGCGCCCGCAAGGTCCCCCTGCTCAAGAAAGCACATATACAGGGCCGTCTGAAGTTTGCCAATGAACATCTGAATGATTCAGAGGAGAACTGGGTGAAAGTGTTGTGGTCAGATGAGACCACAATCGAGCTCTTTGGCATCAACTCAACTCGCCGTGTTTGGAGGAGGAGGAATGCTGCCTATGACCCCAAGAACACCATCCCCACTGTCAAACTTGGAGGTGGAAACATTATGCTTTGGGGGTGTTTTTCTGCTAAGGGGACAGGACAACTTCACCGCATCAAAGGGACGATGGACGGGGCCATGTACCGTCAAATCTTGGGTGAGAACCTCCTTCCCTCAGCCAGGGCATTGAAAATGGGTCATGGATGGGTATTCCAGCATGACAATGACCCAAAACACACGGCCAAGGCAACAAAGGAGTGGCTCAAGAAGAAGCACATTAAGGTCCTGGAGTGGGTTAGTCAGTCTCCAGACCTTAATCCCATAGAAAATCTGTGGAGGGAGCTGAAGGTTCGAGTTGCCAAACGTCAGCCTCGAAACCTTAATGACTTGGAGAAGTTCTGCAAAGAGGAGTGGGACAAAATCCCTCCTGAGATGTGTGCAAACCTGGTGGCCAACTACAAGAAACGTCTGACCTCTGTGATTGCCAACAACGGTTTTGCCACCATGTACTAAGTCATGTTTTGCAGAGGGGTCAAACGGTTGTCACCTTCTCACCAAGCTGCTTGGCGATGGTCTTGTAGCCCATTCCAGCCTTGTGTAGGTCTACAATCTTGTCCCTGACATCATTGGAGAGCTCTTTGGTCTTGGCCATGGTGGAGAGTTTGGAATCTGATTGATTGATTGCTTCTGTGGACAGGTGTCTTTTATACAGTTAACAAACTGAGATTAGGAGCGCTCCCTTTAAGAGTGTGCTCCTAATCTCAGCTCGTTACCTGTATAAAAGACACCTGGGAGCCAGAAATCTTTCTGATTGAGAGGGGGTCAAATACTTATTTCTCTCATTAAAATGCAAATCAATTTATAACATTTTTTACATGCGTTTTTCTGGATTTTTTTGTAGTTATTCTGTCTCTCACTGTTCAAATAAACCTACCATTAAAATTATAGACTGATCATTTCTTTGTCAGTGGGCAAACGTACAAAATCAGCAGGGGATCAAATACTTTTTTCCCTCACTGTATACCACCATGAAATTTATTTTCCATAACCAAAAATATTGTATTTTCAGCTGTTTGAAGCTGATGTACAAAACCGAAAGTAAAAGTAACTAAACTTAAAGGAAACATACAACAAGCGCACATAGAACAGATCTATGCTTCTTAGACTTGCTTTCAATGAGAATGAGATGTCTATATCACACATTTCTATGTGAATTTGGTTGGTTCACCCAAAAACTTACATATTGCAGCTTTATTTAACTAGGCAAGTCAGTTAAGAACAAATTCTTATTTACAATGACGGCCTACCAAAAGGCAAAAGGCCCTCCTGCGGGGACAGGGGCTGGGATTAATACAAATAAATATACACTACCAGTCAAAAGTTTGGACAGTGTCACGCCCTGGCTCTGGGGACTCTTATATGTTGAGCCAGGGTGTGGAGTTTCTATGTGTTATTTTCTATGTTGTGTTCTAGTTCGTGAATTCTATGTTGGCCAGGGTGGTTCCCAATCAGAGGCAGCTGATTCTCGTTGTCTCTGATTGGGAACCATACTTAGGCAGCCTTTTGGCACTAGTTTATTGTGGGATCTTGTTCCGGAAGGTTTGTGTATTTAACCTAGGACTTCACGTATCGTTTATTGTTTTGGTTCGTTGTGTGTACACTAATAAAAGTATGTACGCCTATCACGCTGCGCCTTGGTCCGCTTCATCATGTGTCAACGGTCGTGACAGACACACCTACTCATTCCATGGTTTTTCTTTATTTTTACTATTTTCTACATTGTAGAATAATAGTGAAGACATCAAAACGATGAAATAACATATGGAATCATGTAGTAACCAAAAAAGTGTTAAACAAATCTTAATATATATAATATTTGAGATTCTTCAAATAGCCACCCTTTGCCTTGATGACAGCTTTGCACAATCTTGGCATTCTCTCAACCAGCTTCATGAGGTAGTCACCTGGAATGCATTTCAATTAACAGGTGTGCCTTCTTAAAAGTTAATTTGTGGAATTTCTTTCTTAATGCGTTTGAGCCAATCAGTTGTGTTGTGACAAGATAGGGGGGATATACAGAAGATAGCCCTATTTGGTTAAATACCAAGTCCATATTATGGCAAGAACAGCTCAAATAAGCAAAGAGAAACAACAGTTCATCATTACTTTAAGACATGAAGGTCAGTCAATACGGAAAATGTCAAGAACTTTGAAAGTTTCTTCAAGTGCAGTCGCAAAAACCATCAAGCGCTATGATGAAACTGGCTCTCATGAGGACCGCGACAGGAATGGAAGACCCAGAGTTAACTCTGCTGCAGAGGATAAGTTCATTAGAGTTACCAGCCTCAGAAATTGCAGCCCAAATAAATGCTTCACAGAGTTCAAGTAACAGACACATCTCAACATCAGCTGTTCAGAGGGGACTGTGTGAATCAGGCCTTCATGGTCGAATTGCTGCAAAGAAACCACTACTAAAGGACAATAAGAAGAAGAGACCTGCTTGGGCCAAGAAACACAAGCAATGGACATTAGACCGGTGGAAATTTGTCCTTTGGTCTGGATTCCAAATTGGAGATTTTGGGTTCCAACCGCCGTGTCTTTGTGAGATGCGGTGTGGGTGAACGGAGGATCTCTGCATGTGTATTTCCCACCGTAAAGCATGGAGGAGGAGGTGTTATGGCGTGGGGGTGCTTTGCTGGTGACACTGTCTGTGATTTATTTAGAATTCAAGGCACGCTTAACACAGGGGGGTACCGTTGCATAGTCAATGTGCGGGGGCACCGGCTAGTTGAGGTAGTTGAGGTAATATGTACATGTGGGTAGAGTTAAAGTGACTATGCATAAATACTTAACAGAGTAGCAGCAGCGTAAAAAGGATGGGGTGGGGGGGGCAGTGCAAATAGTCCGGGTAGCCATGATTAGCTGTTCAGGAGTCTTATGGCTTGGGGGTAGAAGCTGTTGAGAAGTCTTTTGGACCTAGACTTGGCACTCCGGTACCGCTTGCCGTGCGGTAGCAGAGAGAACAGTCTATGACTAGGGTGGCTGGAGTCTTTGACAATTTTGAGGGCCTTCCTCTGACACCGCCTGGTATAGAGGTCCTGGATGGCAGGGAGCTTTGCCCCAGTGATGTACTGGGCCGTACGCACTACCCTCTGTAGTGCCTTGCGGTCAGAGGCCAAGCAGTTGCCATACCAGGCGGTGATGCAACCAGTCAGGATGCTCTCGATGGTGCAGCTGTAGAATTTTTTGAGGATCTGAGGACCCATGCCAAATCTTTTTAGTCTCCTGAGGGGAATAGGCTTTGTCGTGCCCTCTTCACGACTGTCTTGGTGTGTTTGGACCATGATAGTTCGTTGGTGATGTGGACACCAAGGAACTTGAAGCTCTCAACCTGTTCCACTACAGCCCCGTCGATGAGAATGGGGGCGTGCTCAGTCCTCTTTATTTTTTTTTATTTTTTTTATTTTATTTTTTATTTTATTTTTATTTATTTTTTTGGCTAGTTGAGGTAGTTGAAGTAATATGTACATGTGGGTAGAGTTAAAGTGACTATGCATAAATAATTAACAGAGTAGCAGCAGCGTAAAAAGGATGGGGTGGGGGGGCAGTGCAAATAGTCCGGGTAGCCATGATTAGCTGTTCAGGAGTCTTATGGCTTGGGGGTAGAAGCTGTTGAGAAGTCTTTTGGACCTAGACTTGGCACTCCGGTACCGCTTGCCGTGCGGTAGCAGAGAGAACAGAATGGCGCATTCTACAGCGATACGCCATCCCATCTGGTATGGGCTTAGTGGGACTATCACTTGTTTTTCAACAGGACAATGACCCAACACACCGACAGGCTGTGTAATAAATAAATATTTTACCAAGAAGGAAAGTGATGGAGTGCTGCATCAGATGACCTGGCTTCCACAATCCCCCGACCTCAACCAAATTGAGATGGTTTGGGATGAGTCGGACCGTAGAGTGAAGGAAAAGCAGCCAACAAGTGCTCAGCATATGTGGGAACTCCTTCAAGACTGTTGGAAAAGTATTCCAGATGAAGCTGGTTGAGAGAATGCCAAGAGTGTGCAAAGCTGTCATAAAGGCGAAGGGTGGCTATTTGAAGATTCTCTAATATAAAATATACTTTGATTTCTTTAAGACCTTTTTGTTTCCTACATGATTCCATATGTGTTATTTCATTATTTTGATTTCTTCACTATTATTCTACACTGTAAAAAATAGTAAAATCAAGAAAAACCCTTGAATGAGTAGGTGTGTCCAAACATTTGACTGGTAGTGTATATAAATATAGGACCAAACACACATGCACATATACACACACTCATACAGTAGATGTACCTGCGGAAGAGCTTGACGTCCCCCTGGTTGTTGTAGCCTCGTATGGAGTGCCACTGGTTGACCAGAGGGATGGACAGGTCCTTGGTCAGGTGGGAGGAATCACAGGGGATGAGGGCAGTGCTGGAGGGAACACGCATGGGATTAACTCTTAACATCATCTGATATGTGATGTTCTGTATTTGTGTGTGTCTGTTTATGATGTTTGTATGTGTCCCCGTCGATGTATACTAGTGTGTGTGCTGTGTATATTGCTCTCACATTTGTGCCTGCAGCTCCAGTACGATGGACTCCAGCTCCTTCTTCTCCTGCAGGCTCTGGACACTGAGCTCCTCCAGCCTGGCACTCAGCTTTTTGTTCTCCGTCTCCACGTTCTTCAGCTGGGACTCCCGCAGACGCACCAGCTCCTCCAGGTAGCCCTGCATCACAGACACAGACACAGGCGCAGACACAGACGCACAGTTAGAAGATAGGACTGGAGTGCATACAGATAGACTGTGTTCTGCATACCCCAAAAGTACAAACAAAGTTATTACTCTATATACAGTACATTGAGGACCATCAACATTTCCACCATGACACTCTGTTCTGGAAGAGATTCTATGCCCCATGTCTTTAGGAATGTAAGGTTATCAGGAGGTCAAAAGGTCACCTTCTGGGCGTAGACAATCTTAAACCTCTGCTCCATCTTGCGACACTTGTTTCTCCAGCTCTCCTCGTCGGTGACCAGGGGGATGTAGGGGTGTTCTGGGACACTTTCGTCACTGGCACTGCTGTCCACACTGCACCGGTCATCCTCATCACTCAGGTAGTCATAGCTGTAAGCAAGGGACACATAGCAGGGGAGTTGCACACATTCACACACTGCTTCTAGTCATTTGGATGGCTATGACTAAGCTACTGACTAGTATGACATATATTGGCGAAGTGAGCACGTGGTTGTCTCACCTCTGAGTAAACTTCAGGTAAGGTGTGAAGTCAATCACTGCAGGGGACTTCCCATCCAGCGCCTCCCCCTTCAAGCAAAAACTGGACAGAGAAAGAATTGTAAACTTTATAATAACAATGTAACAAATAATAATGCTATGATTCTGCAGGCCTGAGTGATGCTGCCTCACCTGAAGTCTATGGCACTGAGACCAATGAGCATGCCCGTCAGAACAGTGGCCTCCTCTCTCAGCATGATGGCTCCGTCATCATAGAACCTCCTGCTGTGCAAAGCCTTATGATTAGTTATGTATTGCATGTTGTTTCTAAGGTAGATTGGTAGTTAATAGGCTAGATGGGATACTATTTTGTGGTATATCTGACCTGGTTGTCCGTGTGTCCCTCAGGGCTGTAGCCACATACTCAGACAGACGCTTCTCCATCAGCGCCACACGGATCCATGCCCGACCCTGCAGAAAACGATGGAAGGAGGGAAAGAGAGAAAGAGAGAGAGAGGGGGTCAGATGGAATGAGAAAGAGTGACAGCTAAGGGATTTTACTCTGAATCTCTGGTGACACAAACATGCACACACACACACACACACACACACAGGATCCCCGTCCTTGCCTTGGCGCGTGAGGTGCTGATGTTTTCGATGTTTTCGATGCTGGCGATGCAGTTGTTCTGCACCTTGCTGCATGCCAGCCGGATGTAGTCCCAGAAACTGCGCTGGCCATCTGAGCTGAACCAGCTTCCTGGACCTGGTCCAAAGATAAAACACTGACAATGACTCCCATCTCCTACAACAGCCAACACAGTGTCCCTGTCGCTCAACGCACCACAGCAGATTGGCTTTGCATCCAGCACTTTAACTCAGTCAAAACCGATGGGCATGCCATGAGCTCATGTAAAAATCATTACATTTGCCTATTATATGTGTGACATTATACATATTATGTAAATAGGTAAATAGTAACATTTGAAACTAGGGGAAGCCTTGAGGCTTCCGTTTCCTGAATTAGAAGACCAAGAGACTGATGGACACTTCCATGTCCTGTACCTGCTGTGTTACCTTTGAAGCGGTGGCTGAGGATGTGTTCCAAGATGGCAGCGAAGTTGACAAACTCCTCGGATGAGTCATCGATGGGCTCAGCTGTGTACTTTTCCAGGAGTGTCTTCACCGAGAATCTAAAAGAGAGGAGAAGAGAGAGACAGAGGAATGAGAAACAAAGATAACTACGTACAGTACAAGTCAAAATTTTGGACACACCTACTCATTCAAGGGTTTTTCTTTATTTTTACTATTTTTTACATTGTAGAATAATAGTGAAGACATCAAAACTATGAAATAACACATATGGAATCATGTAGTAACCAAGAAAGTGTTAAACAAATCAAAATATATTTAATATTTGAGATTCTTCAAATAGCCACCCTTTGCCTTGATGACAGCTTTGCACAATCTTGGCATTCTCTCAACCAGCTTCACGAGGTAGTCACCTGGAATGCATTTCAATTAACAGGTGTGCCTTCTTAAAAGTTAATTTGTGGAATTTCTTTCTTTCTTAATGCGTTTGAACCAATCAGTTGTGTTGTGACAAGATAGGGGGGATATACAGAAGATAGCCCTATTTGGTTAAATACCAAGTCCATATTATGGCAAGAACAGCTCAAATAAGCAAAGAGAAACAACAGTTCATCATTACTTTAAGACATGAAGGTCAGTCAATACAGAAAATGTCAAGAACTTTGAAAGTTTCTTCAAGTGCAGTCGCAAAAACCATCAAGCGCTATGATGAAACTGGCTCTCATGAGGACCGCGGCAGGAATGGAAGACCCAGAGTTAACTCTGCTGCAGAGGATAAGTTCATTAGAGTTACCAGCCTCAGAAATTGCAGCCCAAATAAATGCTTCACAGAGTTCAACAGACACATCTCAATATCAGGCGTTCATGGTTGAATTGCTGCAAAGAAACCACTCCTAAAGGACACCAATAAGAAGAAGAGACCTGCATGAGCCAAGAAACACGAGCAATGGACATTAGACCGGTGGAAATTTGTCCTTTGGTCTGGAGTCCAAATTTGAGATTTTTGGTTGACACCGCTGTGTCTTTGTGAGACGCGGTGTGGGTGAACGGATGATCTCTGCATGTGTATTTCCCACCGTAAAGCATGGAGGAGGAGGTGTTATGGTGTGGGGGTGCTTTGCTGGTGACACTGTCTGTGATTTATTTAGAATTCAAGGTACACTTAACCAGCATGGCTACCACAGCATTCTGCAGCGATACACCATCCCATCTGGTTTGGGCTTAGTGGGACTATCATTTGTTTTTCAACAGGACAATGACCCAACACACCTCCAGGCTGTGTAAGGGCTATTTTACCAAGAAGGAGAGTGATGGAGTGCTGCATCAGATGACCTGGCCTCCACAATCGCCTGACCTTAACCAAATTGAGATGGTTTGGGATGAGTCTGACCGCAGAGTGAAGGAAAAGCAGCCAACAAGTGCTCAGCATATGTGGGAACTCCTTCAAGACTGTTGGAAAAGCATTCCTCATGAAGCTGGTTGAGAGAATGCCAAGAGTGTGCAAGGCTGTCATCAAGGCAAAGGGTGGCTATTTGAAGGATCTCAAATATAAAATATATTTTGATTTGTTTAACACTTATTTGGTTACTACAGGATACATGATGTGTTATTTCATTGTTTTTATGTCTTCACTATTATTCTACAATGTAAAAAATACTAAAAATAAAGAAAAACCCTTGAATGAGTAGGTGTGTCCAAACTTTTGACTGGTAATGTATTTCTTTGCAAAACCATTTATATGCAATAAAAAAGTAGCAAAGAGGGACAGAATGTTGAAAGTATAATGTAAAAAACAACAGTAGGAGCAGACAGGCATAGACAAATGTACTACTGTACTTGACTTGTGCTAAACAATAGCTGAGAGGAGTTTTTTTGGGAGCAATGCCATCGAATACATCTGAGGTCACCTCCAATTGTCTTGTGTGCAACACAATGTCCCCCTTCAGATGCTCCGCAAAGTTGCCGTGACAACAACACAATTAACCCCCTTGTCTCAACCAATGGCAGATGACACGGTTGTCGGCCTGGCAGCCTTTGTTCAGTATGGGCTCCCAGGTCCTGTCCGTCCCTTGGTCTGATCTCTGTAAGGAACCAGCCGACATCAGAGTATGACCAAATCAATCCCCCCCCCCCCCTCATACACGGTGGTCTGATCTATTTAGGACAGCTGTAGCCATTGATTTAGTTTGGCTGATGACCTCGAGATCTCACTGCACATACCACTGAGAGCTAAGAGCTAGAGGCTATGCTGTGCCTGCTGTGTGTACGCTAGGAGTCGGAGTCCAGGCACAGACTAGGGCTGACTGCCTCTTGTTCCATGGGAAACACTAGCATCACCGAGGGCAAGACTGCCCTGGCAGTGGGCAAAACTTCCATAGCCAGGGGCAAGACCACGGTCGCGATGGGCAATACCTCCGTCTCCAGGGGAGTGACCACCACCTCCATGGGGGACTCCACCATCAGTAGGGAGAAGACCACAGTAGCTCTTGGCCGCGCTAGCTTCACCAGGGGAACCACCACCACCTCCTTCCGGAAGGCTCTGATGCCAAAGCGCAGGACCACCTAGAATAAATGGACAGGAGCTCAGACGCCAGGGCCAAGACTCCCAAAGCAACCAGGACGTCAAAAAAAGACTTGACTGAAGAGGAGGATTGGAAAGCCACCTTCCTGTCCAGCAAGACTACCTTCACTAAGGGCAGGATCTTGATTCTGAAGACTAAGTACGCCATCTCCTGGGGCAAGTCCTCTGTCTCGTGGAGCAGAACCACCGTTACCCTGGGCAAGATCACCGTGACCATGGGAAAGACCTCCGTGACACGAGACCAGACCACCAGCTCTCTGACCACTCTCACCTTCACCCATGGAGATAAGTCTGTGTCTGTGGTCAAATCCAGCCTCACCAGGGGCAGACAAACTACACGGAACATCTACTGGGATTTCCACCTGTGATTATTGTATATGGTTACACTCAAAACGGAGGGATTTTTAGCAGGTCAGTTGTAGCTTAAATCATGTCCATTTGTAATCAATTATTCCATGTGTCTGATCAATGTGCAGCATTCTGCAGCTCGAGTGTCAATGAAGCATTAATGTTTTAGAAGAAAAACATTTATCATGTCTTTCAAAATGAATCCCACATGATGAGAGTATTGTTAGGATGTGTTACGGATCTAACAGGCTTGAAATCAGATAAGATGTTCTGGAGCCTGACGGAGGAACATTATTCAAATGTGTGACAGAGGAGATGAGGTTGGTGGTGTGTTGGCAGGGAGGGAGGCAGTAGGACACAGCTGTGTGTGATGTATGTGGAGACAGAGCATGTGTCATCATCAGTGTGCTGATCAACAGAGAAACCCAACGGTAATTCTCTGAAGCAAAAATACAGTTTAAATGTCCCCCTTTTTGTTATAGAACAACAATTGCATGCTGATTAAATTGGTCTATGTTTCAAGGTTGCATGCATTACAATAACTATGCTATGTTCAGTTTATAAGGACAGTCTTAAACTAGGAAAAGTGTCTGTCATAACTGATTGATTGATGTAACCTGATGCTCATAAAATAACTGCTTCAACACTGCTTGGCTTGATTTTGTTTGTTTGCAAATTTGACTTTTTATATAATATACAAGTAGTAGGAAACAAATTATATGTACTCTCCTGAAGTGGAATAATGAATTATTTTCATACTAAAGGACAAGGACCATAGTCAAATGCAATATAAGATGATCTGATCATCTCTAAATCAAATATAAAATTTTAGGGACACAGACACTTGTAAAACTACTAAGAGCCACACCCATATTGGAGACTGAAGCCAAGATGCACATTGCACATTTGAGAAGAGCAGTCATAGGCCATGGATGGAAAACATGAACTTATGTCAACTTCCTTGCCTATCTAATAATGTCTCACATATGTTTCATGTTGCACATGTTCCATACAGTTTCACACGGAACCAAGGCTTTACAATCAGGGGATATAGGGAACAATGCCACAGGATCAAGTGATGTCACCACAGATTGTCCTCTGGGCAACAATGTCTCCTTCAGCCGCTCAGCAGCGTCGTGGTGGTGATGGGACAATCGTTCCACTGTCCCCAGCCCTTAGATAGGCTACAGCCACCTACGGCTGCCTCTGTCCATTCACAGGGACACATGGGCGGTATGTGGCCTTCCAGAGCCCACGTCTATAAGCTCAACGAAGGCATTATGTGACAGGGGGTAGCACTATCCACGCTTAGCATTCTGGTCTACTCTGGACTCTCGTTACTGTTACTATCACACCCAAGGCTTACTAAGTGGGGTGTGCTGCATGAGCGTGCGATGTGTCGTGCCGAGTGAACCCCAAAATCCACCACCTCAGCAGGGTCAGGAAGACAACCTTCTTCTCAATGGGCAACACCAGCATCACCGAGGGGAAGACGGCCCTCTCCCTGGGCAACACCACCATCAAGAGGGGCAAGACCAAGCTCACTGTGGGCAACTCGTCTATCACCAGGGGCAAGAAGACCACTTCTCTGGGCGCCTCCACCATCGCCAGTGCCAAGACCAAGCTCACCATGGGCAATGCCTCCTTCAGCAGGGGCACCACCACCACCTCGTTTCGAAAAGCATTTTTCGCCAAACGCAAGACCCTCTAGATGAGAGGGGACATCATTGGGTGGAGGGACTGGCGGCTAACTCAACAAAACATAAAGACAACATACAACAACACCATCACAGGGGACATAAGGACATCACCGCAACATCTACACAGGCTAGATCTAAATTGACTTCTAAAACACTGGATTATTTTGCTTTGGACCATTTTCTTTTTCGATCAAACAGGATTTTATCAAGGAAACAGGTCAGTGGTTTTAGAATTCTTAGATGTGTTCTACTCCACCCATGATTCCAGGTCAGTCTGAGTTATGTGTTGTGCAGAAGTCAATGTCTGTTATACATGTTACTGTTGGACACCCTATTCAGTTGCCTAGAACAAAACTTTGAGAACATTTGACCTGCTACATTGTTGAAATATTCTATGGCAATTAGGAACTTTAAGTATTTATGCTTTACTGATATGTCAAAGAAATCAGTAGATTGCAAGATAGTCATCTCTGATTATCAGTAAAATCAGTTTATATGTGATTACAACATCAGAATCTAATACTGTGGTTGAATTATTAGAAATTGACAAAGTCTCTCGATGTGAAGGGGAGTTAAAGAGCGGCAATAACTGGTATGCCTTAAATGCTAATAGATTGAGTGCCACATCAAGATGCTCTTGGTACGATTTGACACTGAAAAACAACTGCCCGTCCTTATAACAAACATCTTTTGTGCCCCCTCTCACTCCTCTTGGATCTCAGCCAAACCCACTCTCAGCTCTCTTCAAACGTCCTCTTGTTCTTTTTTCTACTGTACTTATGTTCAGTTGTGTTTTATTTACAATACAATTTAGGATCAGGGTTCTCTAATTTGTCCGAAATAATCTCAGAAGATTAGGATTGACAGCTCTCAATAACTTTTCTCTCTACCCCTCTTTGTCTGACTAACTCTCTCCCTCATCACCCCCCTCTCTCTCTCGCTCCAGTTTTGGCCTAACCAGCAGGATCAGCTGACACTGGAGGATTCCTCCCTGGCCATGGCCATGTGGAGGGAACACTGTCTGTCTGATGGTGTTATTCAGATCCTCTACTGGGTGTGTGTGCACCTGGAGGATCCCTCTCCCTCCCATAGGGGAGATGAGCTCAGCCAGGGGAGGAGATGCAAGCCCTGTGTCTATGTGCCATGAAATATCATGAGAGGAGATAGTATTAGTTGACTTATTTGCTCTGACAGAGAGATTACAAACGTTATGGCATAATTCATAATAATGAACATGATGAGGGGATGTGATATGAAGGATATAGTATGTCACAGAGAAAGTGGATATGGTAATAGGAGAGGAGAGGTTGCAAGGAAGGTGGGGAAAGGTTAAAGTGGTATCTGAACTTGTATAAGAGTGTATTTATACTGTAATGTGAAGTGTTTGGTCCTGCTGGTAATGTTCACATTGCAATGCCAATGAACCTTGCTTATGTTTAGTAAGGCAGAGGTCATTTGTGCAATAATATGCTAGAAATATGTGAAAACAAGAGAGAAACAAGAGGATAATTAGGCTGGAAAGAGCACCAATATTTTCACCCATTACGAGCATCATTTTTGAGTGCTGCTTTAATGTCCACAATGAACAATGGGACAGACACTTCTGAGTGGATGAGAAGGGCTTTTATGAGGAAAAAAGTAGAGCAGTGGAACCCTGAGGCTGAGAGAGAGAGGCAGAGAGAGGTAGAGAGTAGCGAAGAGTGGGACCATTTGTGGTGCTTTGCCATTGTTTAACACACGAAAGGACACACTCAGAGTGAAGAACCATACTGTATACTGTACAGTCCCTCACAGAACCCACATTCAAGTTTCAAAGTACTTTGCACTCATTGTGCAGCTGGTTCCACTTTATATGTCCTCCTTGGGATATTGCAACAGAGACAGTAATGGCCTATTCTCCCCAGCCACACCCAAAACAATTGAAGGCTTCAACAGACAAAAGATGACTTGCTCTTCGTTCTCATCTCATCCACTTTTATTCACAGGGAACAAGGGTGCAGTAGGATAGGACCTCCAAATCCTTAACTATCTCATTTATGTTTTCTTAGGTTCAACGTGTTGGCACCAACAGTGTTCATCCTGTCATGGACCTCGTCATGAGAGCTCTTAGGCCAGAATATGCAACAACAAAGTAATATATCCACTGGCCTGTAACAAGATTCCCTAGTGATAGCTGTTTCTCCTGGTTTGGCCTCTTTTCAATAAGGTAAAATAGCACCTATTGGTACAGTCTGTTTCTCTCAGATGAACCGAGTACAGATGACGCTCTGGTCCCGCCATGTTTTAAAAACATATGTAGCCCATAGCAACAGCTATACTGTTATGTAAGACTTTTCTTTTATTCTTGACATTTTATTATTATTCTGGGCATGGTAAATACTTATAAATGAAAGCCAGCTTAAGGCATGAGTGGTATCTCCTTCAAAAGTTATATTTTTCTCAGGACTTGAAAAGTTGATGGTGCCAAGTTCCAACTGAGATTTCTACAGTCCTTTTCAAAGACTACCAGCTGGACCATACTGTATATCTATGACCTCTGTTGACTTAACTATTGACCTTTGACCCAGGGAAGCAATGATAGTTCCCTGTGATGTTGAGAGTATTTCAAGATTTCTGTACAGTCTATTGCTGTGCATGGAAATATATGTCATCAAAATAAGTTTAGTCAATGAAACATGATGTAATGGGGAGGTCACTTTGACACATCAGATCACTGCATCTTAGAAGTCACTCTATATCTTGGCTTTGGTGTCTATAACAAGGCCAACCCATGAGACGTGCCATCAGAGACTAGACCTACTAGTATCCCTGGGCCCTACTATATCAGTACAGCACTAAAACAACCATGTTAATGACTTGGAGGAAGAGCTTTGAATGGGAGTGTGATGCCAGTTTGGCAAAATCCATAATGATTCCTGATGACAAATTGACATGGGGATGGATGGAAGCTCTGGGTCCAGCATTTCAGCAAGGGTCAATGACACAGTGAACTGATTCAAATTCAGTATTCAAGAACAACTGTATGATAATAGAGCATTCACAAATAGGTCTCAAGACAAGGATTTACTTCCAAAAAATGAAAAGTAGGAAATCCAAACATGTTAATCTATGTGTCGATGTCTGGTAAATGTGTATGTTGTGATAGTGAAGGAAATGTTGTGTATGTCAATTTGAATATATACACGTGCATTAGTATTAGAAGAATGATCATGCTTGGGCTGGTGTGCTAACTGAACACTAATGTGGGCTTAGCTGGGAGGGATGGCTAATGATCTGAAAATAACTGTGTCCATATCAGTCAAACCTTTTTCATGACTCCCTCCATTACTCTTGGCATTAGTCTGGTGCACAGATCCACCCTCTATCTCTTTGCACCAAGGCTTCCCTGCTCTGCCCTGCTGGTAGTCCTGCCTACACAATGAGACACACACAACACCAGCCTGACTCTATGTACAGCCAGAGGTCCTGAGGTCACAAACATTCACAACCTTTGTCTACTTGAACACCACCTGGGACAAGGGCTGTCATTGGCTGACACTGGCAGTTTGCCTCGACACATGGAAGTGGTACACGTCTGTCTGGCAGGAAAAGAGGCTTCTATGATTTACAGCCTATCTTAGACTGCACAATACAAAGCTAAGACTTGACATCGACACAGATGCTTTCAGATATTCAAAGCCTGGGGAATACATGTATTACCCTTGCATTAAACTGAATCCATAGCTCTCATTGAAAAGTAATCAATGTCTTTCCCATTGGAGAAAATTGTATGATTAGCATTACTGATGAAAAACTGTTGTGAACATTTCTTTTTTGTTTTGTGTCCTGTGCCTCTGTCTTTAAATGTCTTGGATTAAAATATTATTGGCACAGTCAGCGTCTGAAAAATGACCGAACTGCAACAAATGTCTCTTTGTTCTCTCGCTAATCCTTCTGGAGTCTGAAGTCTGTGTGTTTTAAAACGTTTATTTCTCTTTGGTCATGTTCTATGTTTGTTCTACGTGTTCTATTACACTGTATGTTCCACTAAATGCAGACAGAACCCTCGGCAGAGAGGTGCTGTAATTAAAAGTGCTTGATCGTGTTCCTGGAGTTTTCATTTGTCTATTTATTCTTCTGTCCAAGCAGCAAACAAACACTAAACTCAACATGTCATATCATGAGGTCAACATGAGGATATGTGGCCAATGTCGATGTCATCGGATTGGAAGGATGGAAAGATATCCATGATTAGTGACAATGTCATAAACCATATATGCCTACCTACACTACACATAGAATGGGTAAATCATTTTCTGCTAATTGCTTTTTCTAGAAATGATTTAGAGAGACCACCAGGAGCTTGAGTGATGTCATTCCCGTTGGTCCTGTGTAGAACAATGCCTCCCTCAGGAGATAAAATGTTGTGTCCCTGACAACAGGACAATGGGTCTCCTGGCCCCTCAGAGTGACAGCACACACTGGACACATACATGCCTCGCCTGATGGGTTCACGTCTCATCATGAGGGTGCCCACAGATAACATATTCACATTGCTAACATACAAGCTACGAGCCACAGACCCACACGTTTCTGAGGCAACAATCCAGTTCCTGTTCCTACTGGAGCTCCTTATATGAAGACAGGGATATAAACCAGTATGACTCACCATGGTATGTGTTAACACACAACAGACATGAGGACACACAGTGAAGAGGAAGCTTACAGTATAGATGCATAAGGACACAGAGATGAGACACATATTTGGTATTTTGCAAAAACACATATGCACTCTTGAAATAATTGTGAATATATATATATTATATCATTGAATATATTATATTATATTAATTTACATGACAAATGTTTGTCATCATCATGTATGAAGTATTCACATTAATTATGCCTTTACAAATAGGAATATTCTAGGATGGAGCACTGATGATACATTAGCCTACATTGGGTAAAACATCATTTCTCCTTCACCAAGTTATCAAATAGCATTCCTATGACAACCAGCCACAGGGGTTTGACTGCTATGCAATTTTATTCTCAGCAGTATCAGCTGTAGATATAAATTACTCTGGTATAGATGAGCTGGCATAGATGTCGTCGGCCTATACTTTTTTATGAGAGCTATCTCTCAGGCCACCGGGTGAAATTCCTCTGGGTGTTTTCAGTGCAAGATGAGTACATCACAGCAGCATTAAATGACCATAATAAACATCCGATTTCACTGTGATGTCATTATCTTGGAGCAGCATTTCTCTAAGCGGTAAAGAATGTCCTCGTCCCAAGAATGTTGTCGTCATTGCCACATCACCGACCTGGGGCATTCTGGTGGAGCAATGCCCTCTCAAACATAGGCCTCACACACCCAATTCAATCCCATGTCCTTTCAAATAGGCCGACATAGCGGCGGAGACAGCCGGGTGTCCAGCAAGGTGAAACTGCATCTGTGGCTGTTTATTTATAAGGCGATCTGATTCTCTCTCACCGTTATTTCTAATCGAGAGAATTTAAAAACAGAAAAAATGTATCCATTATAATTTCCCCAAGTAGTCTAATGTATAGGCTACCACAGTGCCTATAGCTGTGAAATATGTTGCCTTTTCTTTTTCTTTTCGTTTCCTTATGAGAATGCATGATTGAGAACAAACAACACAGGACACAGAGCTGGCACTTACATTTAACTATTGGTTAATGCGGCAGAAAATTATTTGAACGCTTCTTACATTGTAGCCTAAACCATTATACATTTGTTTCCATGCATGCATTAAATAATCTGTGTGGTTAACATGACGTGCCAAACCACACGAAACCTCTGCTCCCTTGTTTTGTACCTGCATACGGTGATGAGATTTTTTCGCTCCACGCCGACGCTCCGAGAAGATGCTTTTTTCGATGTCAAACCCATAGCCATTGCTTTTCGTACACAGCCGGATTCCATTCAGCGGCAGTACGGAGCCTTCGGGTAGCCCTGCACCACCAAGACCCCTCCCTCGGCAGGCCTATGCCATATATTCCGGTGTCCTCAGTCCTCCGCGAGAAGCAGAGACATGCTGATGCTTAATTAGTGGGCTCTACGTTGACGCGCTCACGATTCACGATCGAGTTCTGCAGGGTGAACAGACACTATAATTAAAATACCCTCTGCATCAAGATACCCAATGCACATATGTTGAATTAGCCTACATAAAATATCCCATCATTTAATTATCCTACATTTGATCATAATGTGCTTTGAGGTTTTATAACACTATGGAAGATGATGACTGACTATATAAGATATTATTTTGTTGCACCACAACATATCTACAAATAATATGTAATAAAACAATTACAAATTGGCATGAAATGAATGCCAATGTAGTCTACTTAATTTTATATTTTGTGCTGTAAGGTAGATAATTGGCCACAAGGTGGAATACTGTGGCTCCTCTACGCTAGAGGTCGCTCTAAAATAGTTACGTCACCAATTTGTTGTAAACAGAAGGAAAGATGGCGGAGTCAGGGGAGTCCAAGGCAACATGTACTTTTCTATTTAAAAAATCAACCAAAAAATGCAACACTCGGAAGAGAAAAGCCAGTGACAGCGACAAAGGTGAGCTACAATGTTTGAGTCCATCTCAGTGTTGTTTCAAAAGCTAACCATAAGACTGCATTGTGCATGAAAACAATGGCTACTAGTAATAGCCAAGCTAGTTAACTAACCTAGCTAGCTGGATATTGCTAGTAATAGTTAGCGAGATAGCTAACATTTGAAGTTTATTTAGTTAGGCGTTAAGATTGTGCCTAATAAAAACAAAACTACTGCCAGCTATAAAACACCCAAGCCATGGAAATAATTGTGCAAGTGACAAATGGACCCACAATGGCCGAGTACTGTAAACATGAAAATGTCCCACTCACATTCTGATGCTTGCCTCATTGCCTCCTCCATTGTCAGATGGCAACAGTGACGAAGACAAGAATGCCGTCGTCAGAAAAGAAAAAAAGACGGGTTCAGCAAACCCTATGATTCAAAGGGTAACGTCGCGCGACTGACTACAAACGAATCAGTCTTTATACTTAACATTTTTGATAGTGTGAAATCATTATTCTCTTCTCCCCAGACAAAGAAAGTAGAGAGAGAGGAGGTGTCATCTGCTGAAAGTGATGAGGAGAAAGAAAGAAAGAAAGTCACTGTTGCATACAAGTCCACACGGTCAGCAGTGAGTTATTTTGAAAAAGACCTCTCCTATACCACTGTACATTAATAATGTTTTGTATTTATACCCTACCAACCCCTTTATTGCTCTGCCCTGTATAAAGCTATCAATCTCGTCCTCCTCCCTTCTCTGTGCATAGAAACCAGAGGGGCCAGATGACATGGGAGCAACTGCAATCTATGAGCTGGACACAGCAAAGGACAATGATGCTCAGGCCATCTTTGAGAGGAGTCAGAAGATCCAGGAGGTAAGACATCTGTCCCTAGTTGGAGGAACTTTGTTTCCTTAGTGTATCTACATCTTTAGTATTGTATCATTTGCATTCTTCCCCCAGTCTTGTGTAGTAAATTGGGACAACGTTGGTCCGCAAATGCTTAATAAGGGTCTCTATCCTCACCAGGAGCTGACCGGTAAAGAGGATGATAAGATCTACAGAGGAATGAACAACTACAAAAAGCACATCAAGCCCAAAGACTCCACCATGGGCAATGCATCCTCTGGCATGGTCAGGTATGTATGCATGTTGTGTGACAGAGTAAATTTGAAATGTCTTGGGGAAAGTTTTTATTTTAATGTTTTCGCTATGTATTTGAATCATCACGGTTTTCTATTTTCTTTGTCAGGAAGGGCCCAATCCGGGCCCCAGAGCACCTGAGGGCCACAGTGAGGTGGGACTACCAGCCAGACATCTGCAAGGACTACAAAGAGACTGGCTTCTGTGGCTTTGGAGGTGAGTGGGCTTTGCTGTAAAGTTGCCTCCCCCAATGTCGAGCTTTGCGCAGGTCCTCCTTTCCCTACTTGAATTTATAATCTGTGGAAGTCTCTGAAAGTCTCCTTTGTGTGTTTCTTTTCCCCTCTTAGACAGCTGCAAGTTCCTCCATGACCGCTCAGACTACAAACATGGCTGGCAGATTGAGAGAGAGCTGGACGAGGGGCGCTATGGGGCCAACGGTGAGTTCACAACAGGGGAGAAACACGGGGCTGTGTAGATTTAAGATTGATCAAAGATTAGAGTAGATGTTTGTGATACAGCTGTTCAGTAATGTGTGGTCTGTATGAAGATGATGAGAACTACGAGGTGAGCAGTGACGAGGAGGACATGCCCTTCAAATGCTTCATCTGCCGAGAGTCCTTTAAGAACCCCGTCATCACCAAGTAAGACAATGCTCCTTAAGAACTTCTTCACCGTTAAGTGTGTGTAGAGAAACTTCCAGCAGTGATTGCTAATCAAACCACTCATGTCATGTCTCCCGCAGGTGTCGGCACTACTTCTGTGAGACCTGTGCTCTTCAGCACTACCGCAAGTCCCAGCGCTGCTATGTGTGTAACGTCCAGACCAACGGCGTCTTCAACCCAGCTAAAGGTGAGGATAATGCATCTCAATTACCATGGTCAGCATAGTGGTATGGCATGTACAGTAGGGAATGGCCTCGGATGATCCACCAAAGCATAACTTTGGGCTAAGAAAACAAAAATAAAGCTACAGTAGTTTGTTGTTGACCATGGAGCTTATGTAGCCTGACGACTCAAGCTGAATTCTTCCTCTGCTCCATCGTTCGCTACATACTTCAGTCTGAGACCGCAATCATTGAAGTCGTTTGTGGTGACGTTAAAATGAGGAGTGTTGTACAAAAGTAATCAGTGATTGGATTATCTCTAACAAATCAGAGTACCAATGCCGAATTTTCAAAACCTTGCTTTACCGTCGTGTTCTGGCCCAACCCATCGGTTTCTGGGAACAATCAGATGGTCTAGAACGTATTTCCGTAGGGGAGGTACTCTGCTTCAGATTCATTGCGGAGAAGAAACTAACATTGGTCGGCGTGGCGTTTGGCCAGAGCAAGGAGTTTTGGTAGCCAGACAAGAGCTTATGCACATCGGGTAAAAGACTAGTCTCTATAGTCAGGTAAATAGAAAAAGCTCACTGCTCCTTGAATATTCATGCCTGTGGCTGTGTACGGCTGAGTGGAGTTATTTAGCTCCAGGCAGTAGCCCTAAAAGTGTTTTTTCGCTCTACAGAGCTGGCAGCCAAGATCGCCAAACACCAAGCCATGCTTGACCAGCCACCCTCTGATGAAGAAGATTAGCAACCTACTGTAAATACAGTACCTGTCCCATCCAACTCCATAAGTGTCTGTTATAAGTCTCCCCTCCCCTGTTTTGTTTCATTGTGTCAATGTCAAGCCTTCTGGAATAAAACTCGATTTTGTAATAGTTATTGACTGATTCATTATAATACAATGACAGCGAGAGCCCCGAGGTGAAAGGTATTTATTATCAAGTAAAATAGTTGACACTCCCAACACTTTCCCTCCCCCACTCAACACCTTCCCTTCCCCTCCCCTCCCCTCTTCCTGAAACCCAGACAAACTATCTGAAACAAGCACCATTGTAACATTCACTTTTTTGCCAGTAACAGGAAGGTTAATCAAATACATGGACCTCAGTTGGCACAGTCAAGTGTTAACTAGCTTTGCTATCTTCAGTTGAGGGTTTCAGGTAGAAACAGATGTTTTTTTTCTTCCCTCTCCTGTAAAACTGGTGGATCAGTATGAGAGCTTCTTCTCTCAGCTGTGAGTAAATACAAACACTGTCTGGTTCGTGATAGCCTTGGGACAAACTTCTGGAATCTTCCATCTGTTGTGCTGGCTAGATGGCTGATTGGATCAACCCTTGGTAATGCGGTCGGAGCGTCAGTTCCTGGTCTTGGTAACGTGAACAGATGGCTCTAGATTGGGCCAAGTCGAGTGCAGCTCAGATCAAATAAGAGGTAGAGTTTCCCTGCTCTAACCTTTAATGGAACATCTCCATTGGCAAGTGAAAGAGCCAACTGGACATACTCCCCCATACTGTTCCTCGATGGGTCCAGAGCTTTTAGTAGAATCTGGAGAGATGTGTGCGTGAGAGGAATTAGGTGTCATTCAGTGCAAGGGTCTGTCTGCTCATGCATCTTTTAGACTAGAGCGATAGCAAGGAGGCAAGATGGCGGCTGGCTTTTAAACTCAGATGGAGGAAGTAACTCCTTAGTTTAAATAATTTACATGGGACATTTAATAAGAACAAAACGTAAATCCAGTCCGAAGTCTTCTCAGAGCGTCTCCTGTTAAAATCTCTTGGTTACTACACACACACACCTCTCCTCGTCTGCTTCCTGTTCCTCTGGTCAGAAGTCCCAGTCATCCACATCCATGTGGCTGAGGCCAGACTCCAGGCTGGCCAGCCCAGAGGCAGAGTCCTGAGGCTGGGTACTCTCAAAGCCGGTGATGGGCGTCACGGGCCGGAACAGCTCGGGCAGAGCCTCCGATGGCCGACGCTTGATCTAGGGAAGAATGGAAACATATCTCATTGGGATTCTAATAATCAAGTGTTGTGTGAATGAATAAAGCCTTTACATGACTGTTGAGGAGGGAGGAGCTAGATCCTACTCACCTGTTTGAAGAAGGAATGACCAATGAGAGCACTGGCTGAGGGTCTGAGGGGGGAAATAAACACAATTAATTAAATGAGCTAAAATTCATAACACAATCAATGTGAGGACCAGCAGCCCAGCTTGGCGTGGCTCACCTCTTCTCTGGGTCCCTCTGCAGACACAGCTCCACAAAAGCATGGAAGTGGGGAGAGAAGGTGCGACTGTAGGGGTGGCTCCCCAAGGAGGAGGGCTCTCCGTTAGAGTGGTGGGCCCCTCCGGCACTGGGGCCCTCACAGATCCCAGAGTCAGCCCCAGAGCGGGAGGGCTTCATGGTCAGCTCCTCTGGGGGGATGGTGGTGGTGTCCAACAGACAGGGGACTGTCCCGTTCAGCTTCTCCAGCAACATCTAAAGACCGAAGACCATGAAGAGGACAGAGGGGAGGAAGAGGAATGGACAGAGAGAGAGTGGCCAGTCAAGAGAGAAGCAGAATATAAATGATCTTTCAGAAGCAAGAGAGGGTGCGGGGTTGATCAGGCCACTAGTCACCTGTGTGGCTGGCATGTCTTTGAAGGGCACGTGTCCATTGGCTAGCTCACAGGCTGTGATGCCAAGACTGTAGATGTCTGACCGGAAGTCGTATCCCTGCAGATTCTGACACACACACAACAAGTGGTTACTTAGGGTTGACCGATACAAACAAACAAAGGTATTATAGTATACCAAAAGCAAGGTATTGTATGCTAGCCAGGTGTGGTATGGTGTTACCTGCTGCAGCACCTCTGGGCTGAGCCAGGGCAGCACCTTGATGCTGTACTGGGGGAAGTCATGGACCACTCTGGCCCGCTGGCCGTGACGGATCAGACTGATGATGCTCCGCAGACCAGACATACACACCTGACCGTCTACCGAGATCAACACGTGGCTGGCCTTCACGCTCCTAAACACGCACACAATTAGACGCCATGTCACATTCCTGCATGAAAAGTCCTGTGCTTGTGTGTACTTACCGGTGTACATAGCCCATGTGGTGGATGTACTCCAGGGCTTTGAGCATGCCCAGTAGGATGTAGGCGATGGCCAGCTCATTCATCCCATCAGTGAAGTGGGTGCTGATCAGGTCTCTGGCCGACCCTAGGACATGTTAGACACTACATTAGTCAGTGAGAGAGCACAGAGGACTGTGAGAATAGTAGGGTTAGGTGGAGACAAATTACCTTTGTGTGGGAATGGTAACTAGAGTCCTCCCATCTACATTTAGCTTTTGACTACATTTGACTAGGACCAGAGTAGTGTTACAGTGAGTGCTCTCCTGTCTGTGAATCCTCACCATAGGCCATGAAGGGAGAGATGACCCACAGCTCGTTCTCTGCTATGAAGATGCTCCTGTAGGGCAGGATGCTGGAGTGGTGGAACAGCTTAGATACATGGAGCTCAGCCTGAGAGAGACAGAGATTACACTGGGTTAGGTTTAATGGACAGAGAGAAACAGAGACATTACATTGAGTTATATCTAATAGATACACATTTGACAGACTGAGATGAGAGGTTGGATTACATAACAGGTGATGTCATAAATCAAGGGATGAATGCATTCAGAGGGGAGGAGTGAAAGAGAGGGATATAAAGAGAAGGATGATTTGACTGATGTCAGTCTGCCTGGCAGAGGCAAAGGGAAATGTGACAGATGGATGGTAGAATGATAGATGGATGGTGATAGGTCCAGACCTGCAGGTAGTTGACCATTTCATTGGTGCAGGACTCCAGGTCAATCCGACGGATTGCTACGTGTTCCCCTGTTGGTCTGTATCTGGCAAGGTTTACGGTCATCAAGTCCTCTAGGCCTCGACCTAGCACAGCAAAACACACACACACACCAAGCGCACACACAAAATTAGACTAGAGACAGGAGCACGAACAATGTATTCAACAACAAGCACCTTGGCAGCCCAGTCACTGAGGTTGGAAGCCTGATACTGACTGACAAACTGACTGACCTATGATGGTTAGCAGCTCATAGGCGCTGCTGTCAGGGAGGAAGCTTCCCATGGTGTCCCGCCGTGGGAGTGAGGTCAGGCTCTCGTGGCTGTCTTCATGGGCCTGGGGGGAGAGGCGGCAACAGGGAAGGAGTTAGCTTTGGAAACGATAGCATATATTGGCCCTTACAGTGTTGGGCATTACTTGTGGCATTGTGAGAGTGGCTTGCAAAGGCTTGGTCAGAAGTGATGGTTGATGCTAAATCATATACAGACAGACTACAGAACGGAGTGTGTACGAGCAGTATTTGTGGAACCTGAGTGGAGAACATCTAACTTCAGGTTTGAATTCTGTTGGTGGCAAATTATAAGCAAGAAGCTACATCATTTATGAATCATGCCTTCTCTAAACCTCATCACACCATAGTGCTTGAAACATTAACGCTCATGGTTAGATACATGCAGAGTGGGGACCCCCAAAAAAATAGTATGAGTGTGTTCAGAGAGGAAGAGATGAAGCAAGAAATGTCACTCTTGCCAAAATATGTCCAAAATAAGCCCAATGCGTTTCTATGGGCTTAATTTGGACTTAAGCTTGTCGCCTGCCTTCCCACATTTGGGACAACGACTCCCATTGTTGGGCGTAGACGTGAGGATCTTGTGTATCTGGTGTGTTTCACCTCAAATTACAAAACGGGGATCCAATAACAGTCTTAAAAGATGCTCAGAAAAAAAAAAAACTTATTTTCAGATTCATACTATCACTTTCAAAATGCTTGACTGGAGAAAAAAATATGTATGCAGGGCTCTATGGTGACATTTTTTGACAAGGATCACGTGCTCCTAAGTTGAAAAAATGTAGGAGCACATATTGAAATGTAGGAGCACAATGAAAAATATTCAAGGTATTAATGATAAGAATTGCCAACAATTACAAAATAGTTTTTTCCCCCCCACAGGGGCACTGGTGCTCCCAAATTAAAATTCCAGGTAACAGTAAAATATTTAGATGCATATGCAACCATAATGGTCCCTCTGTATTGCCCTGGTATGGGGTGTTGGCCTAAATGTATGAGGTTACTACATTAAAAAAAAAAGAGTAGTAACAGCTTAATAACCATTTCTCTACCAATTTCCAGCCAGCATTGCGAGGTAGATGCCCATCACGTTAAATCACTCAGATGGAGTTGCCATGCGTTGCCAAAAACAGAACACATGGAACTCCATCCATTCCATCCAACTCCAGTTCACAACCATTGGTGGATGCAGAGATTTCCACAACAGTGACACATTAACAAATAACCCCAGTTGCTCATACCCTCCCACCACCCACCTACATGCCCTCTGCTTTCTAGTAAGGGAGAACTACAGTGAACACAGGCCACAGACAAAGAGTGTCCACACTTCAGACTTAAACTACTTCACAAACATGAAACAGGCTCAGTCAAAATTAGTGAGGACTTTCAGTGAAGAACAACAGAAACCATAAAGAAAACAGTAACACCACCATGTTAAGACCACACTGAGGTTCCTAAGGGCCCATTAAGGCCAGCATTACAGGGAGATTATCTGTCAGCTGAGACGAAACAGCCCTTTTCCATGACAGCCGTAAAAGACAAGTGCAGGTAAATTAAGCCTGGTAATTACGGATGACCCGTCATTGCCCACTCTAAAGACACAAACTACTCCTGCTATGGAGCGGACCTGTGGTCAACTTTATGAATCAGGAAGGACTGTTTGTTTTGATCTCTGGAGCAACCGATGGAGCCATCAGGCAACAAGTAGTATTAATGGGGTGATTAATGGGGTGATCCATCTATCCACTTATACTGATCACATTTACATTTTCGTCATTTAGCAGACGCTCTTATCCATGATCACATCTTTCCTTCAGACTTGACAACCTCAGTTTCTCTCCTCCAACCCAACCCCCTATAAACCATGTCTCATCAACAGGATATGTCACTACTGTAAGCTCTACCAATCTCCCTACTCCCCCAATAGGAAACCCTGGTGGGTGAAGTAGGATGGGCCTCAAAACACAAAGCACATACAGCACAGCATTGAGAATCAGATGCCCATGCACAAAAGCACACAGGGCTTGTGAATTCATTCACGTTGGCTACACCCTCACAAACAGGCAGATGGAACGATCAAAAGCCGTGACTGGAGTACCGCACTTACTTTCCTGTGAGAGCTTCCCTGAGCTTGCTCTGTGGTAGAGAAACCACATCAATGACATAAACACAAACACACACACACACACACACACACAAGAGAAGGATCTGTGTTTAGAGCAGCTCGGGAACCCTTAGGTACACTGTAAGTGTAAAGTATAGCATGTGGTGTTTGTTGCAGGAGTCGGATCAATGCTGCTGGCTGGCTCCTGTCACAAGGAGGATTCAGTCTAGGCTAATTAGATGCATCTGTTAAATCAGTGAGGATTCAGTCCAGCGGGATTCAGTGATTATGCATTGCCATGGGAACAGGAAGCAGCCAAAAACAAACTTGAAATCAAGCGAATGAACGAACAATGATGCAATGATGAGCTGAGCTCACAGGAATATAAAGATGATGCAAAGTTCAACCCCCCCTTATAGGATACATACAGTAAAATCAGCATTAGGCCTATGTCTGTCATAGACTAGCTATTCAGTTTCTCTCTTTATGAAAACGGATTCTTCAACCATTGATAAATTGACAACGCTTTCCTATCCTCATGTTAGTGTCTAATAACAGACCCACATATGTTACCCTTAAAATATGATTTCCGTAAATAAATATTTGACCTAAGTATCATATCGACTTCATATATACTACAAAGACCGACGGCGCAACAGAATATGAATCTGACATGCAGTATTCTGAGGCTGCACATTTACTGCATTGATCAAGTCTGTCAGACAAGGACACATCACACTGGAACAAACTCTCTTCATCGCACACATGTAAGGTACAGTGAGACATTTGACACCTGCAAAACATCGAAGCAAGCAGTAGTTCTTACGTGTCCTGAATCTATGTGGGAGACAGCGGTATCCATCCGCATATTGCCAAAGAACCAATGCTGATTGGATTCCTGTAGGTTTAAATTGTATTATTCCAATTGTTTATTAGAGGGTGTTGCTTTTTAAAAAAACTGCGCAATGCAATAATATCTTGTTTTGAAAGCAAAGCTGCACTTAAGATATAGCTAGCAGGTTCTGTATGAGGGTTGGGCAACTTCATAGCTGATGATAAGTCTTGTGTATAAGCAGCAGTTGATTGGGGAAGCCTTTTCAGCATCACCTTTGACCTTACCTCCAAAAAACTCAAAATCCCTCAGGCTCTCCACGCTCAATTTCTCTGAGACCCAACGCTGGGATAGAGAGGAAGAAAGAAAGAGAGAGGGCAGATACCACAGGTAAATCGCTTCTCCAGTAACTGATCATTGCTGTGACACTGACTGGTAAGGATTCAGCACAAGTATTTGATACCTTTTCTAGACTGGGCTTTAATGCCAACAGGCAGGGGAGCGCTAACGGAGTTCACTCACCAGAAAAGACATGGATCTGTTGATTGTGGCAGCTAGAACCGCTGAAACCCCATCCAGAAAGAATGCCTCCAAAATAAATACTAACACATTAACAGAGGAAAGCATAAACATTACTTCGCTATGAACTAGCTAGAACAAGACAGGTAGCTAGCTATTACCTACCTATTACTTATAGAATAGTTTAAGTTGTACTGTAAATCTAATATGTGAAAACCATTTCACAAATAGTATGATAGGCCCAAAAACATTTTATTAGCAGGACAACTAGCTGCTAGCTAACTAACTAACAACATTAGCTAGCTACAGTAGATAGCTATGTCAAGGAACAAACTAACGCTAGGTAGCTATGGAATCTAGCTATATACAAAAAATATAGCTAGTAACCTACCGTTATGGTAACTTGAAGAAATAGCTAGCTAGTTTCTGGCGGAGCGAGGTAGTTAGCTACCATTTTCAACAAACAACAATTATTGAAAAGGGGGGGTAACTAATTTCACATGTTTGCGTTGATTGGTTCCTTGTTGTGAGAGGCAATCCGTCGCGCGTAATCTACGTGAACACACAGTTGTGACGCAGAACACGTTCGAATCGCGCTGTGAGATTTGGCAGTGGTAAACAGATATTTCTTTGGCAGTGAAAACAGGTAAATAAACAGTACATGCATCCATTAATTAAGTATATGGTGTATAACGTACTCTAGATTCAACTGCTTTTGCAAATGTCCTTGGACAAGTAATATTTGCACAGTCAATAATTTGTCACATATCCACTTCTTCGTCCTGCTGCTGCGGCCTTAGGCTAGAGAAGCGTAGCATGCTACCTAGTTTAGCTAACGTTAGTTAGCCAATTAATGAGATCCAACCATAATTAGCTAGATACAGATTAATGCAATATTTTCTATCTTAATTTGCCAGAAGCCACAAATAATCTTTGACATCCCCCAGACAGTGATTTACGAGATGATTTGGATTAGGTTAGCACTTAGCAGACGTTTGTGGGTGACACACAAGGCCTGCGATGAATGGACTGGAATGCAACATCAATGTACAACAGTCAAATACCAAATGTGATATTCTTTCTTTTCCCCTTGCTTCTGTAGGACCGCTATGAACTGGAGCAAGGGTGGCCCGAGTGGTAAGCGAGGGTTCGGGTTTGGAGGATTCTCCCTTGGTGGTGGTGGTGGAGGAGGAGGAGGAGGAAAGAAAGAAGAACTGCGCGTGCCTCAGAAATCCCACACGTCCTTCGGAGGTGCAGGGATAGCTGGAGGTTATGGCAAGAACCAGCAACTCCCTGCATTCTACAAAATAGGAACAAAAAGAGCAAATTTTGATGAAGAGAATGCGTGAGTATAGACGTATCATTCCTTTAGTGTTCGATTGGGTTTGGTGTGCTTCATATGCAGTATGATCATGACATTGTTTTCAATGACATTTGACTGGTGATACCTTTCCTAACCCATTTCCAGGTATTTTGAAGATGATGAAGAGGAGTCAAGCAGCACAGATTTACCCTATATCCCAGCTGAGAACTCCCCCACACGGCAACAGTTTCCAGTCTGGAGGGGGTTCAGACAGTGAGGATGATCCTCTGGATGCCTTCATGGCCCAAGTGGAGGTGAGTCAAGGATTCCCCTCTTAGACCTGGATCATGTAGAAATATACACATTTTCTCTGTAGTTCCTTTGTTTAAGATCTGGGGTTATTGTCACAGAGCTGTTGGGAAGTATTGCATGGGGGTATATTGTTCACCCTCTTGTCTGCTGTAGGACCAAGCAGCTAAAGACATGAAGAAACTGGAGGAAAAAGAGAAGGAGAAGAAGTGTGAAAAGTAAGATCCCTTCAATTTCTACCTTTTAAGCTCAGTGCCTTTCGAAATTACCTTGTCAATAATATAAATGAGCAAAAGCCCTATTCAAGGCCACCAGGTAGGCAGGTGTAGTACATTCTTCCCATGCACCTGTGTATTGATTTGCACATATTTCAATGGTAATTGGTCAAGTGTCAAAATTGTCAATCTCTTCTCATCCCGAAACTCTAGCATGTTATTAAGATACTGTAGATGGAATGTTCCCACTTCAACTGCAATTCACCACTGAGGAGCAAAGGCTTGTCTCATTTGAAATAATCTGTTTTGCCATTCAATTACCTTAAATTTCCCCAGTTGGTCCATACTGTAGGTAACTAATCAACCCTGCCTTGCATAGCGACTTTGTAGGGAGGGGATAAGCGTGACGTTAGACAGGTTGTGGGGAATCATGGGTGAACAAACGAGTCGCAGGGAAGTTTTTTTTCTCCGCTTGTTTTTACAGGGGTATACGTGATGACATTGAAGAGGAAGATGAACAAGTAAGTGATCCATCCAACATTCCTAATTTACTACTGATCAGAGAGCCTCCAGACCCCAACCTCCCCTCCCGACCCATCTATGGCCAAGTCTCACCACCTACCACATCTCTCCCTCTCTTTTTAAAAATCTTTTTCTCTCTCTCTTACTCTCTCTCACACTATGCTAACAAACCTAATTGCAGGTTGAATCCTTCACCCTATCCTTCTGGGATATCTACATGCATACTTCTGGTGTTTCAAAAAATTAGAAAATGTACCCATGCCTATTCTAAGCATGTTGATTAATAGTTTATAATCTATTTTCAAATATGCCATACTGTAATGAACGTTTCCTATTAACTGTTGCTGTTCTTACTGCTTTGTGAAGGGGGAGGGGTTATAAAATCTGACACTGATCAATTTCAGCCCGAATAACGCAAAGATGGGTTTAAATCAAGTGTTAAAACATAAAATGGCATAGACTCCGACATTGATCTGGGCGATCATCAGAGCATTTAGCCATTGACTGTATTTTAATGTATATCCCCAGGTTATGAGAGTGGTAAGAGTGCCTGCATGAATGTGTGCTACATTAGGCGTTTAAGCTGCACTCTGGTTGACTCATGTGGCTGTGCTCTGTGCAGGAAGCCTACTTCCGCTACATGGCAGAGAATCCCACGGCTGGGCTGACCGCAGAGGACGAGGATGAGAACATAGACTATGACAGTGATGGGAATCCCATTGCCCCCACCACTAAGAAGATCATCATGCCCCTGCCCCCCATGGACCACTCTGAGGTAACAACTGCATACTGCACCTATCTGACCCAAGAGTCAGTAAGTCATATGTTATCTTGTCAATTAGAGTTTTTATTTTAGTGTCTGAGGTCCTACATTTATGTCATTCCCTATCAGATTGACTACCCACCCTTTGAGAGGAACTTCTACAACGAGCATGAGGAGCTTCTCAGCCTGACAGACACAGAGGTGTTTGAGCTGAGACACAAACTCAACCTGCGGGTAAGTGTCAGGAAGAGGACACACACACATACAACCACATCTAAACCCAAACCACACAAAATCCTAGCCAACATACCATTTACAGACACTGTGTTGTATGATCCCATTGTCTCTTTAACTGAAAGCCTCTTGTCTCTTTCTCTTTATTTTGCTTCATTGACGTTGGCAGGTATCTGGTGCCGCCCCTCCTAAACTCTCCACCAGCTTCGCCCACTTTGGGTTTGATGAGCAGCTGATGCACATAATCCGCAAGTCGGAGTACACCCAGCCCACTCCTATTCAGTGCCAGGTACCTAAGCAGCTTGTTTCCTAGGTCATTTTTTTTTGGTACTTTCATATTGCTTTAGTAGCATATAGGCCTCACCTGTATTTTCTTCCCCGTCTGTCCTGTAGGGAGTGCCCGTTGCCCTGAGTGGAAGGGACATGATTGGCATTGCAAAAACCGGTAGTGGCAAGACTGCAGCCTTCATCTGGCCCATGCTAGTTCACATCATGGACCAGAAGGAACTGGAGACTGGAGAGGGGCCCATTGCAGTCATCGTGTGCCCCACCAGGGAGCTCTGTCAGCAGGTAAGACAGCCAGGGAGAGATGGGCCAGGATTTTATTTTTTCAAGACAAAAAGTTGACTTAGCCCCTGGAAATGATTGTTGTGCTCCCCAGATCCATGCGGAGTGTAAGCGTTTTGGGAAAGCCTACTCTCTGCGCTCGGTGGCGGTGTATGGAGGAGGCAGCATGTGGGAGCAGGCCAAGGCTCTTCAGGAGGGGGCAGAGATAGTTGTGTGCACCCCGGTAAGAGCTCTAGTTGACAATCGCTGTGGTAGACTGAGTTTAGTCTTTATGTATTGGAGGAAAAGAATCCCCTGAGGTTATTTCACTTATTGGGTTGTGTATGTTGTTCCTCACACAGGGGCGTCTGATTGACCATGTGAAAAAGAAGGCCACCTCTCTGCAGAGAGTGACATACCTGGTGTTTGATGAAGCAGATCGTATGTTTGATATGGGCTTTGGTAAGTTGGCTTTCCGTTCTTTCTTTTTTTTTTTTTACCAATGACCACTATGCCAGAAGATTGTTTACTGAAGTTGGTTTGACAACTATTTATATCATATTCTTTTGGTAAAATTTTTCAGAGTATCAAGTGAGATCCCTTGCCAGCCATGTCCGACCTGATCGACAGAGTAAGTGTGTGTGTGTGTGTGTGTGCGCGCGCATGTACACTTGTTAGCGGTTTAGATAAGACAACACCATCCTATGAACCTTAACTCCACTCCTGTCCTCACAGCTCTTCTGTTCAGCGCCACCTTCCGTAAGAAGATTGAGAGGCTGGCCAGAGATATCCTGGTGGACCCCATCCGTGTGGTGCAGGGAGACATCGGAGAGGTAAGACCTGAGGCTCTTCTAACACCATCTGATTGCAACTTCTACAATTTATTGAAAGTTCTACATTGCCAGAACAGTCAACCAGCCTGTTAGACTTTTATGTCAACCAGCTGGCGGCAGAACATTTTCTGGAGTTTAGTCATCTAATGCTCTTCAATCCTCCATCCTTCCTCCCCAGGCCAATGAGGATGTGACCCAGGTAGTGGAGATCATGCCCAGCGGGGTGGAGAAGTGGGGCTGGCTGACCCGCCGCCTGGTGGAGTTCACCTCCTCTGGCTCTGTACTTATCTTCGTCACCAAGAAGGCCAACTGTGAGGAACTGGCCACCAACCTGACCCAGGAGGGCCACAGCCTGGGCCTGCTGCACGGAGACATGGACCAGAGCGAGAGGAACAAGGTCATCGCTGACTTCAAGAAGAAGAGTCTGCCCGTGCTGGTGGCCACTGATGTGGCAGGTGAGGTGGGGGTGGGCTGCAGACGAGGGGACGGGGACTGAATGTGGCACAACATTCCAATCATCAGAGATCTGTGTATGATTACACAGACACTGACAATGATTTGATTGTTTTTGCCTGAATTCCAGTGCTCCTACATACTTGTCATTCTATCATTTTTCACTCCTTCTTTGTCATTTCCTCCCTAGCCCGTGGTCTGGATATCCCTTCAATACGCACAGTAGTGAACTATGACGTGGCTCGGGACATCGACACACACACACACCGAATTGGCCGAACAGGTCGTGCTGGGGAAAAGGGCGTTGCCTACACCCTTCTCACCAGTAAAGACACATCATTTGCAGGAGACCTTGTGCGTAACCTGGAGGGAGCCAATCAGAGCGTCTCTAAGGAACTGATGGACTTGGCAATGCAGGTAAGCCATTCTACATGTCTCCGACTGACCATTGAGGACAGCTATGGAAAGGTTAATTTAATATGATGTCTTTACTGACCTTCTTTGATGTATTCCTCTCAGAATCCCTGGTTCAGGAAATCACGCTTCAAGGGCGGCAAAGGAAAGAAGCTGAACATTGGAGGAGGTGGTCTGGGCTACAGAGAGAGGCCAGGCTTGGGAGCTGAAAGTTCTGTGAGTTGGCCATGTCTATTTGTAACAGAAATTGGTTGTGTTATTGCGTTAGTTGTAGTGTTATATCTTGTTGGTAGATCAGTGGCATAATAGTGTAACTCTTGGTGATTGTTGACATTTTGTTGTTTCTCCAGGAGCGTGGTGGTGGTGCTGCCATGGGTAACTATGAGGGCTACAGCAAGCCTTCTACCGGAGCCATGGGAGACCGCATGTCAGCAATGAAGTCAGCCTTCCAGGTAGCTAAACTGTCACTCACTATCTATTCCGTCTTATTTTAATTTATACACATTCGACCTATCTGTTAGCTCTAAATGATCCCTTTTTCTCATGAATTCTTTCTGTACGTCTTGAAGTCCCTCTTTAATTGTTGTATGTGTCTATTTTTCCCCAGTCGCAGTATAAGAACCACTTTGTGGCGGCATCCGGCATGGTTCCTAAACTCACCACTAAGTCCAGTAGCTCTTCAGGCTGGACCAGCGCTGGCAGTCTGAGCTCCATCCCCACCGGGGCTCCTGAGGGCCCAGACAGGCCCCGTGGGCCCCCCTCTTTACCCATGGCCCCTCCAGCAGCCCTCGGCATGGGCACCAAGATGGCAGGCTTCACCAGCGCTGGCTCCCTGAGCTCTGTGTCAGACAGCCAGGCCAGTGCTCCTCAGGGGTATGCCGCCCCACCCTCACCCAGAGAAGGGCCCCATGACAGACATGGTGACGATAGGGGTCGCCATGGAGATGGCCACTATCGTGACAGGAGAGACAGGAGCGAGCGGCACAGTGGCGGGGGAGAGCGGGACCGCCACGCAGACCGCGACAGATATGGGGACAAGGATCGCCATGGCAGCAGCGGGCGCCATGGCGATAGTCGTAATGGAGACGGAAGTAGAAGGGACAGAGAGCGAGAAGATTGTAGAGGTGACAGGGAGAGTGGCGACAGGGCAGGGGGTGAAGGAAGGGGGGACAGGAGTGAGGGGAGAGGTGACCGAGAGGCAGACAGCTTTGCAGTCCCAGATCCACCAAAACGCAAAAAGAGTAGGTGGGACAACTAAAGCACAAAACATGTCACCAAGTCCTGAAAAGCAACCAACCAACTGTTCTTAGATGAGCATGCCTGTAGATGCACAGATGGTCATTTCAGCTGAAACATGCACAGAATTTCAAGGGTTAATGTGTGAACCGACCCTACTGCATGGTTTAAATGCAAGGGGAAAGATATGTTATCCTGCTTTGGTTTGAGATTCAGTAACATGGCTCCTGATTGTCTGCTTGTCTGAAGCTGTGTTGAGATTTTGGATAGAGTTCTACTCCTGGTGTCAGACCTGTGCATGCAGAAAGAAATCTACTGTAAATATAACATCCAGATAGTTTTATCCTTACCATAAGTGAGTTTATCAATCTTTCTGGTCAATAGAAGGGAGCAGTGGAGCTGTTATGCAGTCCTGACGCCACAGAAAACACCTGTGATTGAGATGTCTGTTGTATTCTTACGTCCTTTCTCACTGGACACCCCCCAGTTGTTCTAGTTAAACTCTTAGCCCTTGGTAACCCCACACAGCCCTAATGGACATCTACTAAATGTGAGTGTGTATATTATCAACCCAAGTTGCTGACAGATCTCGTTTCCTTTTTTATAAGTGTACTACTTCCTGTGAATCCATCTGTGTTTATGTGAACTTTGCATCTTGTATTCACTTCTTAGTAAAGTGCCTCTGTGTCACTTAGGTGTTTTTTATGCTTTTGAAAGTGGAGTGTATGTCAAATGTATTTGTTAATGTGTGTATGTGAAGCTACGCCTGAGTTAATTCACAGGAGGATGTCAAGTATTTTTTATTTAAATGGCTTTGGCAGTTTGTTTTGTTTGTCTATAGTTTCCTTTTCTGTTTGTCATTTGTCATTGGCAGTTCTATAGGTGTGCATTCTAAACTTAGCTGCAGCTGACACAGCGGTTCTGAACTGTAATAAACATCAATTCACTTGGTCCCACTTTTGTCACTACTCACTACATTTTGACACCTGATATTGTAGAAGTGGTTATTTGCAAGTGAAAAACGGAACTCTCAAACTCAATAACATTCTGTTTCAAAAACTTCAATTTTGGAATCTGCTTCTGTCTTGAAAATGACTAGTCTTTGGCATGATAATACCAGTGAGGTTCTCTGTTATATATATATCTGTATTTTGCTCACACGATGTGACACGAACAGCTGTCAATGTGAGGATATCATTGGCAATTCCTTTTTGCATTTAATCCTTGATGCATTTATGCTCCTCAGTGTACATATAACTTCCATAGACTATAGGGTTAAGACTGTTTTTCACATGTACATCTACTCAATGGTCTAATTTTAAATAAAATCGTGGTTTTTAGTCGTGTCTTTTTGAGTGGTTTGTAGGGCACCTTTTTAGAAGGTACCCATAGCCAGCCACAACTCTGGATGCATCTCTTTCCTCACACATGGGGAGAATCGCAATTGCGTAGTCCTCGCATCCGCTCTCCTCGCCGCCACCTCAAAACCCATTGGATGAGAAATCCAGAGGTCCCTCCCCTCTGATCTTCTTTGCACAACCGAAGAATTTCTGCACCAACTGTAAGAAACCGTCTCAGGGAAGCTCATCTGCGTGCTTGTCATCCTCGCTAGTGTCTTGACCCGACTGCAGTTTGGCGTCGTTACTGACTTCAGTGGGCAAATGCTCACCCTCTATGGCCACTGGCACGCTGGAGAAGTGTGCTCTTCACGGATTAATCCTGGTTTCAACTGTACCGGGCAGAGGGCAGACAGCGTGTATGGCGTCGTGTGGGCGAGCGATTTGCTGATGTCAACGTTGTGGACAGGGGTGGGGTTATGGTATGGGCAGGCATAAGCTACGGACAACGAACACCATTGCATTTTATCGATGGCAATTTGAATGTACACAGATACCGTGACGAGATCCAGAGGCTCATTGTCGTGCCATTCATCCACCGCCATCACCTCATGTTTCAGAATGATATTGCATGGCCCAATGTTGCAAGGATCTGTACACAATTCCTGGAAGCTGAAAATGTTCCAGTTCTTCCATGGCCTGCATACTAACCAGACCAGTTGGTAGAGCATGGCGCTTGCAACGCCAGGGTTGTGGGTTCGTTTCCCACGGGGGGCCAATATGAAAATGTATACACTCACTAACTGTAAGTCGCTCTGGATAAGAGCGTCTGCTAAATGACTAAAATGTAAAAAAAAGACAAAAAAGAATGTAAGGCAAGAAACAACTCATGCCTTTTTTGTGTGACTTGTTCAAATCATAGTCGCACACCTCATGTAGCCTAGCCCATAGGCCTATATGTTTTGATAAGGTTTGTATCACAACTAAAGTGGCCAAATAACTTCTTAAAATTAAGCACATTAATCCGCTTTACAACGGGTGTAGCGCCTAACTGGCATACATACACAGCGCATGAGTGTCAAGTTTGGGGAAGTTGGCGGCAGGTAGCTTAGTGGTTAAGAGCGTTGTGCCAGTAACCGAAAGGTCGCTGGTTCTAATCCCCGAGCCAACTAGGTGAAAAATCTGTCGATGTGCCATTGAGCAAGGCACTTAACCCTAATTGCTCCTGTAAGTCGCTCTGGATAAGAGCGTCTGCTAAATAATGTAAATGTTTTGAGGAAGAGGGAGGGCATGAGGAGTATGCAATTGAGAAAAGGCCAGTGTCTTCTGATTTACCATTTGAAAAAGAATGCCACCACCCTGAAGAGAGTGATATACCTGGTGTTTTAGCTAGCAGATCCGACCCACTTGCTTACAGCTGAACTATGGTCGGACAGGCCTCCTGTTTAGATTAACACACTGCTGGTTAACTTGTGTTTGATATGGGCTTTGGTAAATTGACTGCCTTTTCTTTACCAAAGACTGGTCTGTATTTTGCCACCTATTTATATATATATATTGGTATCCTTTTTCAGAGTATCACGTGAGGTCCAACGCCAGCCATGTCCAGCCTGATCGACTGAGTAAGTGTGTGCCTGTGTATGGGAGAATCTCAATTGCATACTCCTCGCGTCCGCTCTCCTCTTCGGTGGGGTTTAACGGCGGTTGGTTTTCCAATATGTTGCATTACCGCCCCCAACTGGACTATAGTATAAATCCATTATACTTTGATACATAATACTAAATAAAATTCTACTAACCCTGTTGGTGAAACCATACAGGAGAGGAAGTACAGAACCAACGACGCTAGACGGAGAGGAATATGTTTAAGCAAAAGGCAGTTTATTAAACAACAGAGATAGCTGGTACTGCTCAAGCTACATGCATGGACCCATTCAGTTGCCTCTTATCGAGACAGTTGAAAAGGGATCAAAAACAGAGTTTTCAGCATTACTTTATACAATGCAACACAAAGGAAGGGGTCCTTCTTCTAGTCCCTTGATTGGTTCCTGAAGCGTAGGAGGCGGGTCTGCTCTGTCCAGAGTAGAAGCCCCATTTTGTGCACGGCAGAGTCCTCTGCCCTAGGCACCGACCAGTAGAAAGATGTGCAGTTTGTGTGTGTGCGTAACTCGTGAGGCATGAGGATGAGTGTGCGTATGCATGGAGATGTGTGTGTGAATGTGTGTATGTTCTCAAAGGAAAGTCTCGTGGGGAGCAACCAGATTGTGGCCTGTGGCGTGGGTGTTGTCCTTGAGAAGATATTGGCTCTGTCCATTGTTCTTGCATAGGAACAGCATTGATTGAAAACAAGCTCCTAACATTAAAATGGGTCATGCACAAGATTTTAGTCAGACCAAGCTATAACATTTTAATATTTACTACGACAAATCCCCCTCTTCACGTCTCCCCAGAGACGTGACCAAGTAACAGTAAAGAAGGAAAACTTGAGACGTGACACAAGCTAACAGTGTAATTGGCAAAATAGGGAAAACTTTATCAGAAGATAAAGTTTTACATTCCCCCTCTTCACGTCTCACAAGAGACGTGACAAAAAGCTTAAATGCTGCAATTGGCAAAATAGGGAAAACTTTATCAGAAGATAAAGTTTTATATTCCCCCTCTTCACGTCTCACAAGAGACGTGACAAAAAGCTTAAATGCTATTCATCATCCAGATATCCTTGGTCAGCATCGTCAATAGCAAGCAAAGGAAACATCTGACCGTTATCTGCAGGATTTGGATCAATAGCGGTGGTTATAATCCTGGTTGTCAGCGTCCGTATGCATGGAATGCAACAGCATCCACAAAGCACTAGAATTGCAGCAAAAACAGAGATGGATACAAGTATAGAAGAAACAAGCGTTTTATATTTACCAAACGCATCCATCCAAGAGTCCCACATTGAAGTATCCACCCCTGAGTGGCTCTTCATTTTACCATTAAGAGTCCTCAAACCTTCTAGAGCAATTGTCAAGCTTCCATCTGCAGCAGTATTATTAGGAATAAAAGTACAACATTGTTCCCCGAACATAGCACACACACCCCCTCTTTCAGCAAGTAACATATCAACAGCAATTCTATTCTGAAAAGCCATTAATGAAGTTGCAGCTAGTTGTCCATGAACAGCCTCAAAACCTTGTTGAGTCCAGTTTTCTAATTTCTGGACATTAATGTATGTAGTTAATTCTATCGACGTTTTTATTAATAGTACAACAGTCAGCACCCAAAAGACACCCCCAAAAACTGTACTCCATGTACCCATGTTCAAGGACAGTTTCACAGACAACAAAGAGAGAGTGTTCTTATCAGCCTGTTATGTGAAACAATCCATATCAGTACAGTGCTCCTCATTAATGCATTCCTTCCAAGCTATTCATCACATACAGATCCAAAAAATAAAACCCAACAATTTTATGGTGTCACTCTAAACAGAGTATAATCACCCTTAAGAATAACAGGATATGGAAATTAAATCACAACATTTAATGTTAATAAAAAATAAAAATAATAATTTTAACCCTCTATTCCTCCCCTACACCTAACATGTACTGAGTTGGCTACCAGCCACCCAGGAATCCTTTACCTTCACATCAGGAAGAATAAACAATCACAGTGGTTAGTAAAAACATAAGGTAATAAATGAGCA